TTCGAAAACTATCGAGTGGCGGTACTATCGATAGTATCCCAGCTCTATCGTTGACAATGGAAAACGCAACGCTTAGCGTTCCAATTTAGGGACAACAGTAATACCATGTTCTGACCGACATCGAAAACATGTTTTCGTTGCTAAAACTGGTTTTCGACCTAAAACTTGTGTTTCCGATCATGTAAAATCTGTCAAACGAAAACCAGTTTTCGCTGAAAACTACTTGAAAACTCACGTTCCACTCATTCCAACCGGTGTCTTCACTAGTTTTTTCGATTATTTATCGAAGTGGAAGACATATTTTATCATCTTTAATATGCTATTTCGGTTTTATTGGTAATTGACTGGCCAAAGTAAAATAAGAATGAAAGTAAAAGGTTGTAAATGAAAAGAAAATGAAGGAAACGTATTTTGGTTTTGTTTTTGTGTAGCAAAACTGTAATCAAAAGATGTAAGAAATGTCAACGAAAACACTAACAGCCGGTGTAAACAGCCTTCAGCCCACAATCCCAAAACTCGTTTTCAAAGTGTTTTCGTTTTCGGTCAGAACATGGTATAAGCAAAAACCAACTGTGCTATAAGCAAAAGCAAATGATTCATGTCTCTTTTCGCTTTTTCAGTCTGCTTTCACTGATTTATTTTTCTTCAGTCGCAGCTAAGCTAGCGATGGGTACGAACATTGGCCAACCACTCGATTATTCGATTCGAAATTCTGCAGTGCAAATTCCATTTAATTTGATTTTTTCGAATTTTCGAATTTCTTTTTACTGAAAATTTAAAAGTTTGTTCGTAATTATCATTCTTTCTCAAATCGAAAAAGAGATTCAGTTGAACTTATATTAATAGGATTAACTATCCATATCGCTCTTCTTAGCTTCACAACCAAAAATAAATACAAATAAGTATTTTTTTTTTTTAATATCTAAGGGCCGGATTCACAGTGCTTAGTTAAACGTGTGTTAACTTAACCACCAACACGAGTTGAACTATGAATTTATATTCAGAGTCACATAGTTAACTATGAAAATTCATATCGCCTAAAAATATACAAATTCTAAATATTAATACTTTTCTATTCAAATTTGAAATTCGTTCCACAAAAAAGAATTTCAATTTCACAAGATTTTAACTATGGGGGCATGCTGGTTTAAGCTTTTGTTAACTGAGCGTTGTGAATATGAAAATCAATAGTTAAACTCTTATCAGTGGTTAACTACGCACTGTGAATTTGGCCCTAAACGAAATATCAGAAAAACTTAAAAAAATTAGCAAATGTAGCACATTGAAACTAATTTTTTGGCAAGTATAACATGGTTTTATTTATTTTTTTTGCTTTACAAAAACAAAAGAAATTTCTACATAAATCACGTTACATACTTACGCAATCATACGTATTTACGTTTACACTTTCCTTTTTAAGGCGAGATCTTTAAGTAAACAAGGAACAAAATAGATAATAGGGCATGAAGGTTTCTATCGAGCTACATTTTTGGTGTGTCCATAGCTAAACGGATGGTATTTTTGACTTATACCAAAAATTTCACTTCACATTTGACATGAGTGATGAAAAACGTAATGTCAATCACCTGACACCAAAATTTTACGACAGTCTTTGACATGCACTGCGATATCTACATATGGTCAGTTTTTATGATGTATTTGACACCAAATGAACAGCTGTTAGTTAAGGCAGATTTTGATGTCAGTAATTTTGACATAATGAAAACCAAGCATTAGATAAAGTTTTAAAACATTTGAATTATTAACTTTTTTATGAATTTATTTGTATAGCTGGGATGTGTAACTATTTAAATCAATAAATCCATTTCACTGTATGTTAATTCTTAAACATTTATGGTGAGTTGCAATAATGCCAATGGAATTAATGTCACTGATATTAATACACAATTGAAAAGTGAATTATTGTCAATGTCATTAATACACAGGCCATATTTTCGATGACATAAACGCACTTTCATTTTGTGAATTTAAGTCTAAATAACAAAATTTATTTTTATAGCATTAAATATTTTACTTTTGGAGTTTGAATCAATTCCAAAGTGACTTACAGGCCTATTCTACGTTGGTAACAAAAATTTTGCTACCGGTAAATAAAGTTACTGTCAATTTTTAAACCCTTTGCGCATACTCCACACCAGGGGCGGATCCAGCGGGGGGTTTGGGGGGTTAAACGACGTGTCAGTCAGTGGCGGACCCACGGGGGTGTTTTAATACATAGACGCCATATTATACATACATATGCACCATATTAAAACACACCCCGTGCGTCCGCCACTGACTGACACCTAGTTTAACACCCAAAACCCTCCCGCTGGATCCGTCACTGCTCCACACTCTTGTAACCGGTAAATTTTGTTATTATCTCATGAGCAGGTAACAAAATATTTCCCCGTGAAATATGCAACATTCAAATCTCTGCAGAACTTTATAGCTGAATTGCTGAATAAACTAAATCGTTACCAAGGTAAATAGAACTGCGGTGCAAGAAGGGGTGACAATTGTTGGTAACAAAATTAGCTTGTTACAAAATTTTCGGTACCTGTTTAGGTAAAAAATATTGTTACCTATTAAAAAATTAAACATTTTAATGTCAATTGACATTATTTCACTTTTGGCCTCTGTAATGTTATTGAAATTATTGCACGTCCTCACATTTATCGAAGTTCCGATTGTTCCATTTTATTGTATATTTTTAATTCGTTCGCTGCATCGAAAATATCGATTTTTATATACGATACATCGATGCAATATTTCGTTGCATCAGATCGAAAAAACTCGATGTATTTTATTGACTTGCATCCCTAAGGTAAATATGGTGCCACACACAGTGATGCCAAATTTAGTCTGAAAGAAGAAAAATTGCAGAGGTTCTTTTTTAAAATTAAGACGAAAATAGATTTTTTCTAGAAAAATTCGATTTTATCCGAATTTTAGCACCACAAAGTTCGATTTCGAAAATTCGCCATTTTGGAGCTTAAATTCGAATTTCGAAACCCGAATATCGAATTTTCCCATCCCTAAGCTAAGCGATAGCAAATGCACGGAAAATGACCAAGAGCAAAAAAGTGATGCTTAGGTTATTTTGTAGTCAGCAATTCAAACCCTGAACAAAACAGAAACAAAAAAACAGTTAGTACAGAAAGACTAACTCAAAATATAAGAACTCCCGCAATGCTCATGTGGTTCGCCAAATTAACTTCAGCGTTTTTTTTTTGCTGCTTGCGAAATCACAACAAAGCCAACGGCGACGCTGCTGGCCGAAATGCCATCGTAACTGCAGCAACACTGGTCAGCAGCTGTCCAGCATCCGATTGTCACTAAGTGGACCACTTCAGTTGCTCGGTACTAACCACGCATAAATTGCTGGGATGATGCTGGAATATTTCACACACTCTAGAGGGAATTTTGACTGATTTTGTTTATTTTTCGCAAAGCCAATTCAAATAACTACAACCAAATTGTCGATATGCTAGTTGAGTTTAAAATTGGGTGTTTGTTGTTGTCACAAGTAATTTAATTAAAAGCTACACAACTTAAATATATATTTGTTTGCTGATAATACCACTGAATATGCCACTATATGTATAGATACGCATGTATGTAAATATTTATTTAGATATGCACGCAAATCGATCGGTAGGCTCAAACACTGCGCGTAGAATAACTGAATTAAACTTTTTTTAAACAAAAAGTTATAATCAATTTTAAAAGTTTCGAAAATAGCACTTAAATCTAAAAATCAATTATTTATTTATCATTACGGCGTTTAAACTTCATCTTTAACATTAAATTATTATTTTTTTTTTGTATAAATAAACACTGGTTTCAGTCATTTACATTTTTTTCATTGTAGCGTTAAAACGTCTTTAGCAGCAATTTTAGTGACGCTACCAGCCAGTTTTTTGTTTTAGATGATTGTAAAAATTATTACAATCACTGTTTTTTAGTCATCTTCATCACCATTTTAAAATGCATATATTTTTGTTTAAAAGCATTCTTTATTATATATTTGATCCACCATGAACCGTGCAATTTTTCATTGTTTTTTGCATATAGTGTGTGCGTATATATATATGTTAGCTAGGCATCATTGTTAGCATTGCACTATTTTGACTAATTTATTTTCAATTTCTGCTAGTTGTTGTTTACTTTAAACTTTTTTTCTTATTATTTAGTTATAACGTATTCGCATTCGTACTAAAACCGGCAGCGCTCACCTCCATCATCATTAGTAGCCGCGTCATCATAGCAGCTAAACACTAGTTTTACTGCCCGACCAAATCACTGAGTAGCTGGTTAACTACTTTAATGAGATACGTATACAACCAGCCAGCGCAAGTGCGGCGTGTGGCGTATTCGGAGCACTGCTACTTTAGCGCCGAAAGTGAAACCACTGCAGCAGTCAGTTGTACTAAAGTCTACGCCGCCTAGTGCCGCCATGTATGTGAAGTGTCATCAAAACTCCTGATACATATTGTAAAGATTCTGATGAAGCGATTTGATTGTCGCCAATCACAGTAAAGAGTAGCACAAATTGTAAGCGCAGACCAATATGCTCCTTGTTTGTGAATTCCGGTAGAAATATTTTTCTTGTGTTCTATTGCAACAATCGAATGAATTGTTTGAAAAAATCGCGAAAGGGCGCGCGAAAGAGCAAGCGGTCAGTTGGTCGTCACTTGGATAATTGTCGCGCACACTGAGGCTGCGTGTTAGCCGAGCTAGCACGCATCCAGCAAACTGATGCAATCACCCAACACAGACACAGAAGCAGATGCAGAAAAAATGCACCGCACCATCACCGTCGTCCAACAAATGCTGCTCACAGCAGCAGCAGCAGCAGCGGCAACATCGATAACGACTGGAATTGCGAAAAATCTGTTTCTTAGTTGCTGTATTTGCCAAATGTCGCGTACAAGTCTAAGAACGCACTAGCGTTTCAAATTTAATCTCATCCAACTGAGACCGGCATAACCGGCGATGCGAACGTAAAAACTAAAACCCTCAATAAATAAACACTAATACCACAAACAAGTGTAAATATGCATATGTATGTATGTATGTGCATATGTAAGAAGAGCTGGTGTATTGTCAGCCTGGTGGCGTTAACAGTCGACAGTGGACGGACAACAGACAACAAACAGCAGTGTTAACTGCGCAAATCAAGCACCAAATGGTGGAGAGTCGTCACCGCACAGTGATGCGACTCCATATAAGCTGTGGTCAAAACTAGTAAATGTCTGTAGGCTGTAACCTTACCTTCGAAAGACGAAATATAAATTATGGCAATTATTTATATGCTAATCCTAGTGGGCGGAAATATTAAGGACCGGTTGTCTTTGTCTGATTATCACTACCTGACAGTTAAACATCATTATCGACGATTTCGACATCATGCATATAACATGTGCTTCTACCTCTGATTTGTGTTAACCAGACATTGAAGAACCGGCCCTAAAAAATATGTTGAAATTTAGTACACTCATTGATTTTACAGCATAAAGTATTAAGCTATAAAAGTTTCGTACAAAGCGAAAACTATGACTTATAAAAATTAAAAGATTTTCTATATGAAAATTACGTCGTTCTCAAAAAAAAAAAAAAAAATTTTTTTCACTTTAACAGAAATATTTCTCACAATTGTATAGAAATTCATTGTGGGAGCTCACGATTTGTAGCATTTTAGGAATAAAGTTGCTACGTAGAAATCTAGCATGCATTTTGTTGTTGGAAAAAGCAAATAACGTTCGTTAATCAACCCATTTACATAGACAAATCATTGATTACACCGGCACGCAAAACAGTTGTGTGTGCTGAGGCTCGTTTGACTGGTACACCCTCAAAATTTCGAGTAATTTGCGAAAATTTCAAACCATTCGCAATTAACCTGACCTTCCTACCGAACTGTATTCCGACCCACTGAATCCGAATCTGAGGTCCGTTTGAAACGTATTCTTTCAACATTTTTGTTGAATTGCGAAAATCCGAAAAAATGGGAAACAATTCGCAATTTACGAACCTATTTTCCGTACTAGCGTCCATTTTTGTTTGCTTGGACATTTCTCCTATCGATAAATCCAGGTTGGACACCAAAAAGTTATCGATTTAATATGAGATTATTTCATCTAATTAACGGTGGATAAGTTTTGGGTATGCAATTCTGCATAGTATAATTAAGTGCAGATTTAAAGTGGCTTCAAAATACCGTTAATTTTTGGCACTTTTTTGTTGACGCTGTTGTGGATTTCCCTTCAAATAAAAAAATCGTCGAACAGACTTCGTATGGGAGAAGTTTTGCGCTCTGAAAATATATATAAAAAAATACTAAATTTCGCGGTTTATTGATAAATTACTTGCGTTTTTAATAGAAGGAATCAATTTTCAAAAAATAAGATTTTTGTATGCCGTGTGGAAGTAAAAGTTTCACAACGGTCTCGTATGGTTGTATGTCGTAAAGTTTAAAAGTTGAAATAAATTTTTAAAGGAATTGAAACCCCAAAGACTGTGAAACTTATGGTCCATAGCGAGCCCCCTTTATATATTTTAACCGTTTAAATATTACGACATACAACAATACGAAACTTACAACACCGTTGTGAATCCCCTAATTTAGTTAAGAAACTTTGACTAATTTTTATTTTTATTATACGTTTATTTCAAAATATATGTAAAAAAAAGACATTTAATAAAATGAAAATTGAGTGAAACTATCTTCTACCTACGTTCTATGAACTTAAGACCAAATTTCTTTATGAATATTATAATTATAAGCATGCACTTGGGCACAAGGCTATTGCATTAAACAAATTTTCTTCTAAAGAGGCGAAAATAGTTTAACTGCTAAAAAGGACCACAGCGACTTAAAAAGCAACATTATTTTTAATGAAACTAGTGGTTGCTTACCTACTGTGTACCTGAAACATGAAAATTTAAATGTACAATGTCGTACTTAAATACGATGGTATCAGTGTTGCCGCGGTCGAAAAGTAAAATTTACCAAAATCGTAAAAAAAAAAAATACCAAATGCCGTAAAAATTAAGCAACTTATTTAATTAATTTGGGCTTTTCTTACCAAGCTTGGTAAATGGGTTATAGAAATAAATAAAATTATAGTTCAAAAACCCAAAAATACGTTTTTATTACAATGTGAGCTAAAAAGTAAAAAATTATTTATTTGTTTTTTTTATTATTATTATTATTTTTTTTTTGTAATATTGAATATTGTCAATAGCAGGACTATAGCATCTAAGAAGCACCCCATGCTTTCGGAGAAGGTGTAATCGCAGCTGGATGAAAAAATCATGCAACTTCAGGAAAATCTAATCAGAGACAACGCGGAACTCAAATCAAAAAAGGCAGGTGAAAATCGAAGAGAAGCAGGATAAGATCGAAGAGATACAGGGGTACTTCGACGAACGCTCTCAAGGTAAAAGCTCCATCCTTCGACGACACGATTCCTTTCCAGGTCTTTAAGCTCCAGTTCGAAAAAACGGCTACAGTGAATAGGTGGAGCATGGACGATAAGTCCGCTGCGTTATTTGTTGCGTTAAAAGGATCTGCAGCGGAAATCTTGCAAACCGTTCCCGAGTAGGAAAGAGAACTACAATGCGTTGATGGGCGCTGTGGAGAGACGTTATGGTAGCGAGTAAAGGAAGAAAATTTACCAGATGGAGCTGGAGAATCGATACCTAAAAGCCAACGAGTCTCTACAGGAATTCGTCTCCTAGATTGAGAGGTTATCTCACTTGACAGAGATTCATCGGCGGAATGCGGGGCAGGTATACCAAGCGAGAGACGTATGCGAATCTAAAGCCAACATTTTCTGAAACTGTCTCGTATGCTCAGACACGTGAAACGGCGGTGCTCCTAAGTAAACCAGCCTACAAAACCCATCAAGTAGAAGTGGGGACACCTGACGTGATGACCAGGATCCTGAAAACACTCAAGTCCATGGCAGGGAAAAATACTCCTGGTGAAACCGAGAGAAAGGATGGTGCTGGAAAATGCTTTAGTTGCGAAAAACCAGGCCACTTCGTACACGAATGTAAGAAGGGTTCCAACAGGTCTAACAGTTCAGCAGCACGTTAACGAAATGCTGAGGAAGACGAGCCCAACTTTGATCAGTCGTTAAACTAAAACGAGCCAGCAGGAAGAGGCGCGCGCTGGCTCCCGCAATTGAATGCCCCATAATATCCGTCTCGAAAATCGGCAGAAAAGCGAGCAACGTTACTGTTGGTGGATATGTGGACGGAGCGAGTACTAACTGTGGATACATGCGCATCACATTCCGTCATTCGATCTGATTTGGTCACTAAGGCGGTGAGGCCATTACCTGGAGCAAGGTTGGGGACAGCAACTGGTGAAGCACTCGAGTTGTAGGTGAGGAAACATGCAAAGTCGCAATAGGGAATGTGACGGTGTTACACAAGTTCATAGTCGCGGAGATTTTGGGTGAAGTGATAATTGGAGAAGACTTCTTATTTGATCAAGGTATGCAGATCGACATGAAGAACAAGATTATGACGTATAGCAACATGGAAGTGTCCCTTAGCTTTGGGTATGATGGCCCGTACAGCAGAAAGCGACTGATATTAGAGGAAAGCGAGCAGATTCCACCGAAGTCAGAAGCAGTTGTTTGGGCGAATATTGATGCAGATTGTGGGACAAGCAAGTTGTGGGTGGTCGAAGCAGCACAAAATTCTACACTGGACGTTCTTATTAGTAAAACCTTGGCTAAGACCAAAAAAGATGAACCCATTCTAGTTCGAGTACTTAATGAGTTCAAATCACCATTCAAACTCCGAAGAGGAACTGTTCTGGGGCAATGTCAAGAAGTAGAGGCAATCTTCAACTGCGAAAGGCTACCTGAAAGGGATTCCACTATCGATAATCACATTGCAAAAGGCTAAGGATCTTCTCCGCAGATATTCCAACATATTCGACAAGGATGGCAACAAACCAGGGAGGGCCAACGTTGTAAAACATCGCATTGATACTGGTGATGCAAGGCCGATCCGTCAAGCTCCTCGAAGTGTTTCACTTGCCAAACGTAACGCTGTAAGCCAGATTATAAAGGAAATGAGCGAGAGTGGTGTTGTTGAACCATCAGCGAGTCCATGGAGTTTCCTGGTAGTACATGTGAAGAAGAAGGATGGTCAAATGCGGTTCTGCGTGGACTACCGAAAACAAAATAATGTGACGAAAAAGGCTATCCACTTCCCAGGATCTATGATACTCTGGACTGGTTGACTGGAATGAATGGAATGGAATGGTTATTGGCAAGTGGAGGTAAGTGACGAGGACAAGGAGAAAACAGCTAAAAAAATATGTCCTTGTGGTTATGATCTACTTTAGCAAATGGCCGGAGGTATACCCAATTCCAAACCAGGAAGCTAAAACAGTAGCGGAGGTATTTACCTACAATTGGGTTGCGAGATACGGAGTACTTATAGAGCTGCACTCTGACCAAAGACGAAATATTGAATCGTTGGTATTCCAAAAGATGTGGAAGATACTGGGTATCCGGAAACTCGAACAATTTTGTCGTCAAAAGTAAGGATTTTATAAGTAGTTGCTTTATTTGAAAACTATTACCTACACATTTATTCAGGCTTTCACAATATACTCCTATAATAGTCAGCTGCCCTTCCGCTAGTTTTTTGGAATGCATGCATAAAACGAGCTTGGTATCATGTTATCCATAATGTGCATATTGATATTGTCAAGCAACTCAAGGGACCTAAGGTCGCCTCCGAACTCCAAATGGAACTTTTTACGGGATCCAAAAACAAAATTGATTGAAAATTGACTCATAGCCAAATGAATCGTTGAGCAGAATTAGCCTTTTTGAATATTTTAATCAAAAAAAATTTAGCAAAACGAAGTAAAATTCAACATTTTAACCGGCAGGAAAAAATTAATAAATTTTGCTAAATTTAAACAAAACGTCAACGCCGGACCGTGGTTAATATAATA